TTCGAACCCACGACCTTCGGCTAGATACGCCGCTGCTCTACCACCTGAGCTTTTTTTTCATCTCAACTAAAAACCTTAATTAATTGTCATGTATTAATTCTTCAAGCGGACCACGAAAGTAGAGAATTAATGATTTAAAAATGAAGTACACTTCACTAAAGCTCTCCGTCGCCATTTCAATTGTCGTCGAGAATCCAAACCGATTACACGACATTTGAAAAATGGCAAAAGGAGGGAAACTCATAAGGTGGGGTTGAGATGGGGAGTTGATGTCCGAGTGGATCGAGGTCACGATAGCTCAGGTGGTAGAGCAGCGGCGTATCAAGCCGAAGGTCGTGGGATCGAATCCCTCTCGTGCCATTAACTTTTTTTCATCTTAACTAAAAACCTTAATTAATTGTCATGTATTAATTGGTCAAGCGGACCACGAAAGTAGTGAAATAATTTATAACGTCGGTTTGTTTGCTGTCTTTTCAGTCTTGTGTTATTCCAAGTCGGTCGTTTATCCATGAAAAGTCCAAGATAACGCACAACATCAGTGGAAGGTTGCAAGGAGTAAGAAGAAAATACTATATGAATCGATCTGGTATCTCAAGGAGGGTATTAGGGAAAACTGAAATTTTTTAAGAAACTGAAAGCGAAATTTAAAATAACATTTAGGGGCGATTGCTAACAAGTATAAATTTAACGTATGTGGTGTTTAGTGACAGTTAACAAATGATTATTTGGAGATTGTGAGATGCGGTCTGGTGTGACGTAGGTTTAGAAAAAATAAAGAAAATGTTTTTCGAAACCTACATCACACCAGACAGCATCTCACGATCTCCAAATAATCAGTTAATTAAAATTTAACTTACATAAACCAAAATTGAAAATATACAAAAGTTGTGCACTAAAAAAATTGATTCAAAATGGGAAGTAGAACATCTAACATTTAATGAAACTAAATTCTACCCAATAAAATAACATATGTATGTTACTAGCTTCTAATAGAACTAGTAGTAACAAACCTCTACCAAGATTTCAAACGAGTTTTATTCTCTGGAGAAAAGTCGTTTAAACGAGTAGTAAGGGAATAAGCTTACTTTCTTTACAGCACTCGTAACTTATAAATAATAAAATACTCGAACAAATGTACTATAAACATTTTCAATCTCTACTTTGTTCAACGGTCTTTGGCAAACTTGTGATTTATTGCGTTCTTTATTACTTGGAACGGTTTTGAAATGAAGTTTATTTTTAATTAATCATATACTTCTTCTTATTATTATTAATTGCAGGTTAATTTAACTTCGATTAATAAATTCTAATAAAATGTAAATCCATTATATTTAGTGGTCTATTGACCAAATTACTTTTTTAAATTAATTAATCTTTTTATGTAAGGTTTTTGGTTGAAATGAAAAAGTTGGTTAAAATAGTTAAAGTAAGTAGTAAGTTAAAGTAAGTGAAGGGGTTCGAATCCCGCTCATGGCTCTAAAATTTTCATTTCAACCAAAACCTTACATAAAAAGATTAATTAATTGAAAGAAGTAGTTTGGATAACTAAATATAATGGATTTAATAAGCAAAACGAAGTATAATTTCATTAACAGCTACCCGTGGCCACTTCAGAAGTAAACGAGAATCGAATCCTGATTACACGACATTTGAAAAATGGCAAAAGGGAGGGAAAATTCGAAAGGTTGAGATGGAGTCCGATTGGATCGAAGTCACGATAGCTCAAGTGGTCAGAGCAGCGGCGTATTGAGCCGAAGGTCGTGGGTTCGAATCCCGCAGGTGGCAATAACTTTTTCATTTCAACAAAAAACCTTACATAAAAAGATTAATTAATTGAAAGAAGTAATTTGTTCAATAGACCACTAAACATAATGGATTTAATAAGTAAAACGAAGTATAACTTCACTAACAGCTTCCCGTGGCCACTTCAGAAGTCGCCGAGAATCGAATCCTGATTACACGACATTTGAAAAATGGCAAAAAGGAGGGAAAATTCGAAAGGTTCAGATGAAGTCCGGGTGGATCGAAGTCACGATAGCTGAAGTGGTGTGAACAGCGGCGTATTGAGCCGAAGGTCGTGGGTTCGAATCCCGCAGGTGGCAATAACTTTTTCATTTTAACCAAAAACCTTATATAAAAAGATTAATTAATTTGAATAAAATATGAATACCAATCTTTCAATTAATTAATCTTTGAATGTAAGGTCTTGATTGAAACGAAAAAGATAGTTTCATGAGCCGGATTCGAACCCAGGATCTTCGGCTGAATACGCTGTTGCTCTAACCACTTGTGCTATCATGACTTCGATCCTCTCGGACACAAACTCTCCATCTCAACTTACAACCTTTCCAATTTTATCACCTTTTTGCCATTTTTCAATGCTGTTGGTTCGAATCCCGCTCGCGACACTAACTTTTTCATTTCAATCACACCACTAAACATAATGGTTTTAATAAATAACCAATGTTATTCTAATTTTTCTTTTACAGCTTTTACATTATTGTATTTCCATTTACAAAAATTTAACCGTATTATCCTGGAAGAGGAAGATGAGAGATGACGAAGTATTGATTTTATTTATTTCTAAATCTGATCTATTTGAAGTTGGCAATAAGGCTTTGAATCGTTTTCTATCTTCCATCGAAGACGGCAAGGGTTGCTATTCAGTGTCAAAAATATTTTTTTAAAGTGTTAATCACCGAGAGAATGTTTATTTTTTGTCAACGGAGGAAGAAAAAGGGAGATAACGATTTGATGTTGCAATAGGCTTGACTAAGATATTCTAACACATCTCAAAAGATATTTCGAGAGCTCTTGTCCCTCGTAGCTGAAACGTAGCCCTTATTTCCCAGGCTTTGCTATTGTCTCCTTGCTCTTTTCTTTTTCCCTTATTATTTTAAAAAACACTGCAATCTCAAGGATGAGTGTGTCTGTGTATTAATTCTCAAGATAAAAGTATTACTATAATTTACCTCAGAATCATTGTTGACAAATGGTGGTTTTTCTTTAACGGGGACATCTCACGTAATCTCCCGCTGCTTATCAAAGCACACGGAATAAATACCGGGATTTTATCAGTGCCAATAAAGCTGAGATTAGGACGGGTACCGCCCAGACTTTGATGGTAATTAATTCGGATCGGAGGGGTTTTATTCGGACCGACGTTTATCTCAGCCAGCCAGCCGACCTATCGCCCTCGCAAGCAGCCTCTTCTTTAATCTTGCACTTTTCCCCATGCAGCCCCGAGGCGCCTCTTTGTGCAAGTAACAAGCAGGGAGAGGGCTTATGTAAATGTAAATATAATATTTCGGGGAGGAAACAACAACGGGCACTGTTTAGAACGACAACCCTTCGGGTTGGGACAAAGGAAAACCTCTTGGAGTAAACTTTTTAAAAATCTTAGAAAAAACAACAACCGCCGATAAGATACATGAATAAAAACGGGTCCTGAATCTAAATGCACTTTACCCTTACTGAGTATCAAATTTTGCTGAAGAAATTTACTTATAGATATGGAAATTTCTACTATATCTTTTCCTAAAATAAAATTAGGATTCTGTCCAAACCCAATTGGCCTATACGCCTAAAAAGAATATCATACAATTTAAACTTAAATTAAAATAATTTAAAAATAAATTATGAATTTAAAAACATTAAAAACTCAAGGCCTTTTATTGCTATGGATAGTAGTCAAAAATGTCTGATTTTGTTCTAATTATTAATATGTCTTTTTTATTTTTGCTAATTGCTTTTGATGGATTCTGGCACCCGGGCTTGCATTATAAACGCTTTCTACCCACTCCTTATTTATTATCTTATCCTGAAATTCTACCTAACAGACCGCTGTTTCAGAGTGAAGTGTGGCAACGAGTCGGATACAAGCCGGCGTCTCACAAGCACACTCCAATACCACCATAACAACCTATGCGGACGATACCGCAATTCTGTCATCTAACTCGAATCCTGCCCAAGCTACCTTCAATATCCAACCAAGGACCTTGAGCTTCTCGAAGGCTGGTGCAAATAGGGGAGGACAAGACCGAATGAGGAAAAATGTACTTAGTGAACGTGCACGTTGAAAAAACAGCCTTACCCCTCCACTATACATCAACTGCAAAGAGATACCGACTTCCACTTAAGTCAAATACCAAGGACTAGACAACAGGCAGACGTGGAATCTCACACAAGACTTAAAAAAGAGCAACTTGGATAACTAGGAAGACTCCTAGGACCAAAATTCGTCTTGACTGTCAAGACTCTATTAACCTTATACAAGATTTCACAAGCCATCCTACATTCAGCGAATCCAATCCTTCCAACCAATAGTTCTCAGACAAACTTGTCAAAGCTCCTTACTACGTTACTGACCTCACTACCTGTAATGACCCCAAAATTCCTTTTGTCGACGAACTGGTCCGTTCCCGATTGTAAAAGTTTCACACCAACCTCTCGGTCCATCCTAACTGCTCGAGCCCTCTCCACAAATTCCCAACCCGAGAACCTGCCACTTCGCCATAATCGACGACCTCTTTGCCTTTATAATCCCTCACACTATATGCCACCATTGGCTGGCTTGTCATAGCATGTGTCCTCAGGGTGCAACGATGGCATTAGTGTTAGTGCTGTGATCGTGTGAAAAGAAAACCGTACAGTAATATATACAAATCTGTATAGGCTACAAATAAATAAATTTCAATACAAATAAAAAAATCTTACTAATTATTTACTAAAACTGTAAAACTTCATAGAAGTTTCAAAAAATTCCGAATTCGCTTGATAAATTGAATTCAGTACGCTAATCCTAATTGTTAGGTGAAATTAACGTTGAAATCATGAATTTAAAGGTTGGCTGAAGTTTATTTGTTCTTTCTTTAAGGATTTAACTCGATTTCATTCAGAATAAATTATTGAAGAAATCAGCATTTTAAATTGAATTTCGTCCCGGTTTTTCAGAAGTGATTTGACCAGGCTAGGACTGAAGAAAAAGTTTGAATAATTACCTTGTTTGGTAGGGTGTTATGCGGGGTCGGCGGTTGTGGCGAGGGTTCCATCGGTGGCCTTTTGAAGAAAGACAGAAACAGGTGACGTGAGAGGTCGTCTGGGGTGCACACCTCCAGGTAAGTGTCCAGGAACAGCTTGAATCCATCATAGTTGATGTCCTGCCGGCAAAAAACAATAATAATTATGAATCAAGCTAAATTGCTTTCATTTATTGGCTATGAAATTTTCGTACAATCGGTATGCTCAAGGCAATCCATAAGTAATATATAATATAAATTTTAATTGAAATGAAATTTGATTAATTCGACGATCCATTCCTATTTATTGGAACGAATGTATTTATTTGCGTGAATGGAGGGGCTTATACCTGGATTGTCTGAGGAATATGGAGTGTGAATGTTTTGTTGCTTGTGTACGTAATTTATTAGCGTGAAAAGAGGGCTTATCGCCAATTACCCCCCATTGTCAGTTATTATTTGTGCGTTGTTGGTTTTTTGTTTTTTCCTGGTGTTGGTTGCGATGTTTTGTTCTTCTGAACGTTTTCGTTTTTTGTTATGGAGTGTTTTTAGTGGTGTGTGATTGTGAGTTTGTTTGTGCGTTTACAAGTTTTCATTGTTATAAGTCATTGTCTCTGAAGGATCTAAGATGTTCTTTGAATCGATCTCTTAGTTTCCTTCCAGTCTGTCCGATGTAAGTGTATCCGCATTGACATGTGATGCTCTAAACACCGTTGTTGTCAAGCGGGTTAGTTGTTTACCTGTGTTATTGTTGGTCCTTAGTGCTGTATTAAGTCCGAGTTTGTTGAACAGATTTGTTAGTTTGCATTACGTTCACTATAGAAACCGAAAACAACAACATCATCAACTTCTTGGACTTAACACTCACCAGAACCAATAACAAAATCGACTTCAAAATAACTTTCTGAAAAGTTACGTTCTATTCGTATAGAGCTTCCTGGGCCATATCCGCTTCAGTCGCCTTACTGGGCTGTAGGGGTGGGTAATGTTGGACTAATGGGCTAGCATGTGAGAATAGTTTTTCATGAAATGTGGAAAATCTCTTGGGGATTAGGTTTTTAACAAAGGGCATTTGGAAGTTATTGTGAAGGGTAGTGTTGAAAACTTAAAATGGTACAATCATTCTGTGGATTTTGTATTGAAAAATATTGAAAAAGCTGTATTGTCTCTTTCCCACCTTTCTATGTTGGAATATTTGACGATTCCCCATAGTTCTAATTCGTATGTCCAAATCGGTTTCAGAAGTGTCTTATAAAGCGTCTGTTTAATGCTTGCCTTTTTGCATGTCAGTTTCAGGTTAGGTGTGTGTCGAGCTGGAACCAAGAGAGCGTAAATAGTCAGGTTTTAAGATAGGAATATTATTGAGGAGTATGATGGGTTTTGTTTCGGAAGGTAAAAGTAATATGGAGAGCATTTGCTTCCATCACATCTTAAGGCGCTTGAATTTGCTCCATTCGGCTATTCGTCACACGTGTGCCTGAGCTCCTCCGAAGCAATTGCGGGATCAAAAATAGAAGATAGCACAGATGTGTCGTCGGCGAAAGAAAAGATAAAAATAAAATGATGATTCTTTTTGTTAAGCATACAAAATAATTACAAGCTCTTTTAAAAAAATTTAAACTAACTTAAAATTTTTGTTTGATCGTAGGAGAAATATTTTTATCAACAACACAGCCTGGCTGTTTGTAACGGCTAATAAATTTAATTCCATAAATGTATTTTTATGTATCGTAATAATATTTATATCATGTTGTAATATATCTACTTAAATAACTGTAATAAATAAGGCAATAGTTCTTAAGAAATATTCCCACGCGTGGACATCATACCAATCTGCAGATGGTATCCAAAACCCATTTCTTTTAGGTTACGTTACTGTGGATGCGAATTCTCACGAAATTTTGTTCAGACGAGTTCGTCCAAACAAACAAATACTTGTTTTCAAAGTGTTTACTTTGGCACCGAAGAGCATGTCAGAACACGCACGACGTCGTCAGAACCATTCGAGGGTTCAAAAGAGTTTGATTTTTTCGGGCGTTCTGACGTTGAATTTAAACAGTTTCATCATGGATATGGATATATTATATATCATTAATATGTATATATACAGGGTGTTTGGCTACTCGTGTTACAAACTTTGCCAGTAGATTCTACATTCAAAATGGAACCAAAAAGTCATAATTAACTATGGTTCGAATCTACTTTCGAACCTACTGGCAAAGTGTTTATAACACGATTGTAACACGAGTAGCCGAACACCCCGCATATATATATATATATAATTGATTAGTTTTGTATTTGAGATCTTGAGAATCGGTGTTTCTGGGGCATGAAAAACAAAAACTATCACAACAGAGAGATTTCTCGACAAAAGTGGGAGAAATTTGCTCAAGAATCAACACTAGCAGTAAGTCATTGTATTTGTATAATTACATATTACATTTCATACACTTTTTTTACATATTATATTTCGTGGTCTGATTGACCAAATAACTTCTTTCAATTAATAAATCTTTTTTTGAAAGGTTTTGTGAAAGGTATTGGTTGAATTGAAAAAGTTAGTGTTTCCAGCAGGATTCGAACCAACCGCCGAAGATCGTGGGTTTGACTCCCGCTCGTGACGCTAACTTTTTCACTTCAACCAATACCTTTCAGAAAAAGATTAATTAATTGAAACTAACAGTAAATTTGAAACTCTCCCTTATCTTCCCTTAATAAAAGGAAAATAAGTGGTTAAATGCTCAGTTTTTCCACCAGCTATCATCAATAAATTAATCAACGGACTTTCAAGAAAATATAACTCATTAAATTCACTAGTTTTCGTGGTCCGCTTGACCAATTAATATGTTTCAATTCAAATTAATTAATTTTTTTAGTTGAGATAAAAAAGGCAGTGTCACGCGGGATTCGAACCCACGACCTTCGGCTAGGTACGCCGCTACTCTACCACTTGAGCTATCGTGACTTCGATCCCCTCGGACACCAACTCATTTCAAATTATAACCGTTCGAATTTTCCCTCTTTTTGCCATTTTTCAAATTTCATTTTAATTAATATGTTAAATTATGACCGCTAAACACATGGATTAATATGCATTTTTTTAAATGTAACCAACTTGTTCTGACAAGGATTTCGGACGTACTCATCAGAACAAAAGTTCAGAATTCGCATCCACAGTAACCTAGCCCAGACGCAAACGAACATTAATTTTCAAAGTTAAGTCCTGGAGTGAATCCAAAACAAATTTTCATTTAGATTTTTTAAACTCAAAATTTTTTATTCACCAGTTACCTTTCATGATAATGTAACACTTAGATATTATTCATTATTTATAAATAAAAGTTTGGACGAAGATATTTTCGGTCTGTCTGGTTGATTTTGCAGTTGTTTCTCTTTTTCTCCGAAACTGTAGGAACGCCGAAGCCGTCTCTTGGCTAATAGCGTGCCAGAGGCCGGTAACTAACGTAGGTTTTCACGAACGTGGAGCTCCACTTATCCTCCACTCATTAACTAGTTACCCCTTTCACGCTCCACTTTCCACCGGATTCTTAAAATTTCGGTCCCGTTTCTTGCCGAATTAAGCCGTTGTTCGGCCGTCCGAGGGCCAGACGAGTGCCGTATGAATTACATTAAACTTTAAAGAAATATTTCCACGGAAGCCAATATACAGGGTGAGTCATTTTTTGACGCACCATTGGAAAATCAACGTGGGTGCGTTTAAATCTGACTCAAGGCCAAATTCTTTTGATTTTAACATTAAAAAAAAGGAAGTGAGTCAATTTTCGGTGCACCATAGGAAAATCAACGTTGGTGCGTCTAATTATGACTCGGCACATTTTATTTTGTTAGTCTCGTACCAAAAAATAGGCGAGTCACTTTCCGACGCACCATTCGTTACAAATTAGTTTTAGTAGGTTGGAAGGAAAATAAACAAAACCAATATTATTAAAACATTATTCAACACAATGTAAAAATTAAAAAAAAATTCTTCTCAAATTAATTTGATTAAGGTTTAAGAGTATTTTTTTCTGGTAAAGTAAAACAATTAAATAAATGTAACAATCTCCTTTTTTCTGGTAAAGTAAAAAAATTAAATAAATGTAACAATCTCCTTTTTTCTGGTAAAGTAAAAAAATTAAATAAATGTAACAATCTCCTTTGTTAGCAAACCAAAAATGTTCAAAATCATTATAATAATTGTTCGAACAGACCTCCGTTTGCTGCAACACAATAGCCTAGTCTCTCGAAAAACGATGATCGGACGACAAAAATCCTCTTAAACCTTAATCAAATTAATTTGTGAAGAATTTTTTTTTTAATTTTTACATTGTGTTTGAATGTTTTAATAATATTGTTTTGTTTATTTTTCTTCCAACCTACTAAAACTAATTTGTAACGAATGGGGTGTCGAAAAGTGACTCGCCTATTTTTTGGTAGTAGACTAAGAAAATAAAATGTGCCCAGTCATAATTAGACGCACCAACGTTGATTTCCCTATGGTGCACCGAAACTTGACTCACTTTCTTTTATTAACGTACTAATCAAAGGAAATGAGTCTCGAGTCAGATTTAAACGCACCCACGTTGATTTTCCAATGGTGCATCAAAAAATGACTCACCCTGTATATGAAAAGCACGTGCATTTAATTTCATATTCTCTCTACTACAAGATTAAAACGACAAGAATTCAACAAAAAGTATGGACTACTTAGACACCTACTAGGAGTGATTGGTTTCTACTAACTATACTACTTGCTGAATGTAAATTTCTTTGTATAGTTAGCAATAAATAAACAACATTTTTTGCGTCAAACTAATTATGATAATAAATTAAATAATACGATAACACTAATTTGCGTGTAGTAGTATTAGTGCAGTAATTATGATTGCAAAGAAATTTATTTTGGAAATAGCTAGAACATGGAAATACAAGTTTCTAAAGAAGTAACCAATTTATTATAGACGTCTACATTTTTATTAACTCAATTATGTTTAGTGGTCTATTGAGCAATTTACTTCTTACAAATAATCATTCTTTTTATGTAAGATCTTCGTCGAAATGAAAAAGTTAATGTCACGAGCGGCATTCGAACCCACGACCTTCGTGCTGCTCTTACCACTTGAGCTATCGAGATTT